GGGGGGGGGGGGGGGGGGGGGCCTTCCTTAGTTGCCCTAAAGCTCATTTCCGTGGTGGCGCGAGGGGGGCCCCTTGAACTATTGAAAAGGGACCACATAAAATCCTGCGTGCTTTTTTGACGTAAATCTCTATTACCTAAGTGCCGCAAGCTCCACAGAGCTAGCTTTCGTGGTTGAAGGCCTGAACTTTCTGCAAATAGCAGCATTTCTGCACCAACCCATCTCAAGTAATGCAGCTTCCCCAATCCTTCCGCCAGGAAGAACAAAAATCATGCGAAGCGCCCCGCCGCTCTCGCCCTGCTCGGCTCACACTTCCCGCCAAACAAACATGACATCTAGAGGAACTGTCCACCGCAGCCCAAATGCACTGATTGAAAATTTGGCGGATCGAGGGATTCGCCCGGTCGGGTGCAAACCGTCTAGGAACGCTGGTGCTGCCCACGCCTTGCTGAGCCTGTGAAAGTTCTCCTTTGAGCTACAAGTACCGCGGAAGAGTTCATGTCATATCTTCAAGGCAAAAACGCAAAAGGGCAGAACGTCTTTGAGGCTCCTTGGTGAGATCGAAGCAGTCCGGAGAGAAAGCGTCTACCTGGCTACAAGTAGATGAGTGCTCCACTGCTCGCACCGAAGCAGAAGCAGACCGGGCGTCCCAGCCACAAAGATCACGCAATGGATGTGCAGATACCTGTCCAGATCTCCCCGACGGAACAAGGACCCAGCTTGAAACAGCTATCGCTGAACCTGAAGTGCTGAAGTCCGAGGTCTGAGTGCTTAACCCTCTCTCACGTCTGTCTCTCTGGCTCTGACTCAAATGTTCCTTATTTCGTGTCGGTGCTGCAAAGCCTGTAAAACATCGGCCACATGGGCCGCAACACGTCGTCCCCGGGCACTTCCCAAATGCCATACTGCCTCAGCTGGCAAGGCTCCTCTCTCGGAGCTTGCATCTTCGAGCTACGCACTTCTGCGGCTTCTGTGAGATTGTATGAGGCTGGAGCCCAATGGATGGGCTGCTAAACTCTTCGAAGTGGTACCTGTCAGACACTGTGCTGGGCTTTGACGAGTGCAGGCACTGCCAAGGGAACCCAGGATCTTTCTTGTCCTTCTTCAGGAATTTCATGTCTTTCTTAACATCATCTTTCTTGTACCTGAGCAGCTGCACGCAGGCTGCCTGCCTTGCCACATGATGCCAAGACGTCTGGGCTCCGAACCCGTTGATTCTCAACTTGTACAGGAAGGTGGTCTTTCCGGCCCCTTCTAGGCCGAGCATCAAAAACTGGTAGGTCTCGGCCAGACAAAGACAATTCCAGGGCGTCTCCGTCCAGATCCCAGCATGCACAGTCTAACAAACCCTTGGACGAACAACGCCGACATCCAAGACAGAAAGCCAGGACTGTTGGCATGGCAGTTTCCGTCGTTCCAGGCGCCAGGCCTGCTGTCCAGCAAGCAGGCTGAACCTGCAGGTTTGCTTCGCCCTCTGCACCTGCTGGGAATCCGTCCTCAGTTCCTGGACCCTGCCGGCCTGTCCGTGACAGCAGAAACGCATTGCAGCATGGCGCGGCAGGTGCGAGCCAGCTCGAAAAGGGGCACAGTTCGAGACTTTCCTTCAACCGGATCATTGCATCTTGTCGTGTCACCACACATGACCCCATGCCTTTGCTTGTGTACTCTTCATTGTATACAACTCTGTGTGCCTGTGGCTCGTAGCGTTCGAGGATTCCTATCCTTCTCGTTGATTGCATCGACGTGACTGCGTGCGAAGAAGGCGATGCAATGTGAACGAGCAAGTCAGAGCTGCATCGGCTCAGCACATCTTTGCCGCCTGGAAAGCAGCCCTCTGAAGATCGAAAACTAGAAAGGCTTCTACACATCCAAGATTAGCCCCTCCGTCGAAATCTGATCTCCATCAAGCTACTCTGCGACCGGACGGGAGAACAATTATGTACACGCTCGCCGTGCGCATCGATGCACATCAGAAAGCCTCACATGCTTCCAGAAGCGAGTTCGGAGTCAGCAGGCAACTTCCGCCTTGGCACATCAGCTCCCGATGCGCGAGAGTGGGTCTCGGCATGTCGCGGTCATTGCCCAAAGTCAGCATTCCAGGTGCACCATGAGGGAACTACGGAACCTGCTGCCAGGTGCCACGCGTCACGATTGCCAACCAAGCATATTAGCGTATTCAATCGTATTCAAAAAGATCTAAACCCAGTGGGTGTTGCAAAATCAAAGGGGAACCTCGTCCTCTGAATGCAAGTACGCCTGGAGAAGGACCAGGGCCGGTGCCGATGTAGGCTCGTAGGCCCAGCGGGGGTGCAGCTGCAGCCTCCGTGTTTCGGTTGGAGCACGTCACAAAGCATTGCGCCTCTCGAAAGCCGAAGCCTCGTGGGCCGCACGGATCTCAGGGAGCGTAATGCCGCCGATGACAAAGATGGCGACCTCGTTTTCTGACGGTCACGCGGCTTCTGGGAAAGCACCGGGCATCCAGCGGAGCTACCGGGAGTGCGTCCTGCTGAGGGATCGCCCCTTGCAAGCCAGCAAAGTCACGGAATTCAAGAAATTCGTCAAGGTTTGCCGGCTACTTGCAACAAATCCAGCCTCAGGCAGCGCACTTGAGATGACTGTGTTGTTCCAGCCTGAACCAGTGAAACCAAACGAATTCTGAGGCCAGCCTCTACACGTTGCTTGGGTGATGTCCGGATGCTGCGGAGCATATTCGGCAAAGTCAAAGTCTTCTCAACGGAAATAATCTGTCCGGCATGCATGGAACATCTGGCGCCCAACGCACAGACACAACTTCATCCAATTGAAGGACATAACGATCCGGCATTTCTCGCAGGGCTGAGCTATGTTGCACACATGCTTCACGCTTCTTCACGTCCGACGGCAATGCAGAAGCTCAGGCATCTTCCGCATCGTTGAACATCGAAGCAATTTTGGGCTGCCAACGGCAGAGGCGAGCCTTGCCTTAGTCGGTATCCGCGAAGACACCGCGCAAACGACTTTGATCTGTAGGGACCAGGCGAGGGCTCACTGGCTCGGCACCTGGCAAATGCAAGCAACAACGCAGCAAACACCGCTGACACTCTATGCAATCTCATGCAACCCTGACCTGCACCCGGCTCAGCTTCGGGTCGCTGGCGGGGCCAGCGCCTTCGCTCAGCCTCTGTCGCAGTCACCGCGTCACTGCTCGCAGGCTGGCCAGTCGGCCGCTCGAACTCGGCCGAGTCGTGCACATGCTGGCTCCGATAGCGGCGTACAACCTCACTCTACCAGCGCGGACTGCGTGGTGTCTCAATGGTTGGCTCCACGGTCCAGTCACAGCTGCTGCGCGCGCCTCGATGAACTTCTGCAACCTGCGCAGGTCCTCCGCGGGCAGGAAGGGTGCCTGCCAGAGAGGATCGGCAAGGAGAGCTTACTCGGCCAGTGTGAGCCGAGGGGCTGCGAGCTCCGCAACACCAAGACGTTGCCCAGGTCCTGGACCTGACGGAAGTCGTGTCAGAAGGCAGACCGTAATTATCCTGTCTAACCTCATAAAACCTCCAATTGACAGACCTTGAAGTCGCTACCACCGATGTGCATGGCTTGCAAGTCGATAAGCAAATCACGACTTGGACTTAGGCGACTTAGGTGTCACCACGCACAAGGCCTGCCTCACGTTTACAAACCTCCCTGCCCAGCCCTTCTCATCATATTTCGCTAAGCTCCGACCTGTCTCGAGCACTTTGGTCGCCTGCAAGATGCGCGTGCAGCTGGTGCAGCTTGTATGAGGCTCGCATCATATCTGATGCACGCAGCGTTGAAAAATCCCGTTAATGGGCAGTGAATAACGTGGCCAAGTGCTTGGGGTGGTCGCCTCACAAAGCATGAGAAGGCGAAGCTTGGTGCTGGTGTCCTGCGTTGGATCCTGGTCTGGCAGGCTCCGACACGCTCCGACACGAGACACAACATAGCAACAGCACCGCTCGTGTCCTGAAGAAATGACAGCAGGTCTCTCTCGATGGACTTCGGGTTCAACGGCACCTGTGAAACCCCCACGATTCGAATCGGCAGGCCGCTTCTGGATGATGGGTTCCTACGTGCCCTACTAGCATTGCATGCCATGAAGACATCCCGCAACATGCTCCAAAGCCCGCTTTGCATTAATTGAATGTTTCTCGGCGGCCAGCCCCACTTCTGGAAACTCCAGTTGCCATGTCCTGCGGGTCCAGCACTCTGAATTTGCCAGGACTCTCTGGGTGTGATCTCCGGCCTGCTCCAGCGTGGCCAGTTCGATCAGCCGCCTCTGTCTTCGCTGTGCTTGTGAGATATCGAAGATGACACTTGCTCATTGTGCAGGCGCACACAATACACAACAAACGAACGAACCGACAAACCAACGAATCCACCAAGCAACCCACCAGCAAACAACAAAAAACAAACCAACCAACCAACCGACGACCGACCCACCAACCAAAACCCAACAAAGAACAAACAAACAAACAAACAAACAAACGACGAACCAACCAACCAACAAACAAACCAACAAACCGAAATACACAAGCAAGCAAGCTAACTAACAAACAAGCACACACACACACACACGCACACACACACACACACATGCGCACATGTGAACACACACACATACAATTTTGAAATCACAAGGCTGGTCGGCACAGCGAGACTCAAGCTTGACGAGCAAGATGTCGATTTATCGAGTTGTGCACGTCTGCTCATGCGTCGCTACATAGCTCTTAGAGCGCTGAAAACTCCCATGGACATGTGTAGATTGCGGGAAGCGCGTGAGCGTCAAGTGCGTGAGAAAAGCGAACACAGAAGTGGCGGATGTTGCCAGCTCGGGGCCCAGTTTTTGTTTCTATAAACTGCTGCCGCGATGGCACAGGCTTTTCGCAGGCAGTTTTGCACCAACCATGGTCGCTGCCTTACCTGCCAGGAGAACGACGACCATCAGTGCTCCTGCCCGCCCTGTGTATGCAAGCTTCTCATGGCTGTAGAAATAAAGCATAAAAATCTGTTCAAGCCATCGCATGTTGACATGATGCAGGGTTCATCGCATGTACAGCAGATGACACAATCAGCCAAGCATGCGTGGTCAGTGTGCCTATATATCGCATAAACGGAGAGACGGGGCCATGTGTTACAAAACATCTCACATAGCTTGCTTTCTCACGAATATGCCAAGTCAAGTCAAAGGCGATGCGTAGAAGCCGGCAATGTGGTGTAAGTTGAGTTCGAGCTCGTGCCGGAAACAAGCGAAGTCTCTCCCGCTTTAGGGAGTTACAGCAAAACGGGCGGGGAGAAGGGGGAGAGGAGGTGGCTGCGGTGCGGTTGTTTCATGGGAACAGAACACAAAAGTGTGATACTCTAATTTCTCGCATCCATAAGCTCAGGCAGGAAGACATTCGACCATGCTCCAGCGCAGTTTTGCATGTAGATGCTGAGTTGAACTTGACATCAGATCTGAGATCCAGGCTTTGAAGCGACGATGTTCTGGCCAAGGCATCATTTTGATACATACAAATCCGTTGGTCAATGAAGCTGCGGTTTGTGAAGATTTGCCTTCAAGACCACATAGCGTGTGGCATGGTCTGAGCTAGTACAGTAGTTGTTGGCACCATATGTAAAGATTCGCACCCTTGACTTCAAAATCCATCGGCCTGTAGCCGTGCACAGATCTCGCTGTGGATTTCCAGCTTACGGAACCGGTCCTCCACATGCTGCGCTTGCGTATATACAGAGCGCATGATATCTCATGATAATATGTGATGCCGCCAGTGCACCCCCACCCCCCTACGCTCGCCCTCCCTTGAAGGGTGCTGGAGAAGGGCACGATCTGAGTATCTTAGCCGAATCTTAGCATCACGGCGACATCTCAAAAATGCTAACGAACACCAGGAATGGGTGGTCTACGGTAGTGTTTCACACTGTTGAACATGTCGAGAGGCGCAACCGACAAAGAGCAAGCCTGACTACGGCCATTTATTCCCCTCACCCAAAACCCGGACCCACCCACCCACCAACCCACCCAGGCGTCTGCATCCCTTCGATCAATACATTTCGACATGCACCTGCCACGGCCCGCGACCCTACCCCGCTCTGGCCTGCTTGAGTTGTATTGCGCGACATACTACGTCGTCGAATTCACATCCACTGGCTTGCATGTTGACTGAGCTCGAGATAGCACCTCTCCTTGTGCTCTGGCAGGGATTGAACAGTGCCTCAGGTGCTCGCTCACCCTTCCATTGCATACCTGCATGATACGAGCCAAGTCACTGAGGGTCGAGGAGACCATCCTTAGCAAAACACAAGACACAGTGACCGACTACCAAGTCGAGCCGGGGGCACGGAGCTTTCGACTCGCTGCTCTTCTTTTGAGTTAAGCTTCTTTTGGGTGGAGGATGAACTTGCACTCGACGTGGAGGCTGTGACTCTCGCAAGTCTCATGCTGTTCTCCTGGCTCACATCCAGAAGCACCGGAAGCATTAGAGTATCAGAGTCAGTGAGCTCAGCATGCAGCCGCGACCACGGCGCTTCTCGGCCACCCTTTTCTGTGCTCTGCGCATATTGCCGCACGGGTCTCTCCCATCAGCATCTCACTATGCCTGCCAACACCCGTGGGCAAGTTGCAAACTGCTAACACAGAGTCGTACAGAGCCCAAAGAACGTTGGCCTCCGGAGTTTCAGGTGCCCAAGGCTCCAGCAGCTTGGACATGGACCTGGAGCTTCACCAGGAAAACATGACCAGCCCTCATCTCGCTACTGCAAGCGTTTGAAGCCGCACCCTGCCAGCACAAACCTTCCAGCCCGAAAATGTCTTGCTTCAGACGTTCGATTCAAAACCATCCATGCTTTAACCTTACATGCTAAACCCCATCAAACCTCAACCTCAGCCGAGTGCGCTTTATCAAATCATATCGCATGAACAAGGCGTTCGTTTCAACACAATTTCCGCCATAGCTACGCTTTGCGCGATAATCCACAGACAGGCAATAGCACAGGAGACCCTCCAGTCACAGGCAAATCGTTCCATCTGACAAGATCTGCATCAGTCCATGAGAGTCTCAGTCTATGTTCTACTCCAAGAATGTCGCCTCGCAAGCGCGACTTGCAAGCAATGCGGTAAGGATAGACAAGGTCCCCCTGCGCAGTGTCGTCGGACAAGAGGGAGGCCGCCCTGCAGGGAGATGGTCTGCAGAGAGATCATTCGCGTGATTTCCTTCTCGTCTCTTCTTCTGGACACGTCTGTGCTGTGCTCCAACCTCGCGAGCTCCTCTCGCAAACGTTGAAAGCTCCACCAGGTCATGCCTTCATCCCAGCAGGCACACTGGAAAATCATTTCCATGTCAGCCACACGCGGCGACCACAAGGAGTTCTTGTACCTAGCCTGCTAAGGCTGCTTGACATCCTGTGCATTTCAAGGCGCTGCTTCCCAGGTTGGTCTTCGGAGCGAAGGGATCTTCGACGTTCGGCCCGCACTCCACCTGGGACCGAATGCAACTTGACCTGCCTCTGCCTCGACCATGTCGAGAAGGCCACGGTCTTCCCGTCATCGTGCTCGATGAGGTTGATGGGCCTCGGTCTTGGTCGGCACTCGGGGGAGCTTTGGCGAAGGCCGTGCTTGCCAGCCAGGGATCCGCGCAGCGACAGCGGGGCCGGTCCCGGGGTGCCCCTTAGGACAGAGACTGCCTGGACACGACAGGACCATCGACTCATCGACTATCGCCTAGAATGCCGGTTTCTGCAAAGGCAAGAAGCAATTGGAGCACCTGCTGCTTCCAAGGGAAGTTGTTGTAGAACTGCCTGGGCAATGAAACGATAGAGGCGCGGATTGCAGTTGCAACAACTCGATCAGCGGTTGCCCCCGTGCCCGACGAATAACCAGCAACCATGCCGAGGAGCATGAAGCCAGAAAGCAGGTGTGCCAGCGGGACGTTCAGCATCTCCTCCTGCGAACAGGAGAGTGCCTGAAGCCTGGAGCTCTGAAGCTCCGAACCTGGCCTTGGTCTGCCAGAGGCTCTTCTTGTTGCTGCGATCGGGCAGGAGGTTGGCAATGGCCTCCGCAAGGCACAAGTCAGCCGAGGAGGGCGCCCGTCAGAACAGGACCTCGAACTCCTCCATCGGTGGTAGAAGGGCCCCTTCGGACCGCTCAGCCACCTGTAGGTAGTACACCACCAACCTCGGGCTTTGCATTCAATCTGCACCACATCATCCCCGGAAGTCCTGGTAATGCTCTGTTCTGCTTTCTGACCGAGGGCGGAGCAAACTCCACACGTACGGCGACAAGTGGCCCTGATCGCCGTTCAGAGAAAGTCGACGCTGGCTTGCTCTCACTCGCATCAACGGCACCTTGGGAGCATGGCAGACTCCGCGGTCCTTTGCCCAACGTCGTATGATCAGGATGAGCTCCTGCGAGGCATCACCATCCCGGTTTTCAGATTGGAAGTGCCGACACTGGACCGGTCCTTGCTGCGCGGGTTGATGTTGCCACACCTGCAAGCTAGTGAATTTTGCGAGCGCCGGCTGAACCTCCCTTGGCCCTCATCCTTATTAGATAGCTTTAGCCCTAGATCTGCGAAGCTCGGCCAAAGGACTCCGTGAGCAAGGCCGCGCTGTGCAGTGGTGCGACAGCATTCACAGCAATGTCGATGGGCACGGCCTAGGGCTGCGACTGTTTGCAACCCGAAGCGCATCTCCCCGGTACCCGGTCCACCCCGGTCCACCCCGGTCCACGGCCTGGTTGAAAATGCCAAGCTCAGTTGGAACCAGCAGAGTCATCTTCGGCTCGTTCCTGGAAGGCGTCCCAAGCTGACCCACGCTACACGCCGGTAGTGAGCCAGGGCTAAAGCCCGCGGAAGCCCGAGCGACGGAATTTGAAGCCACCCGCCTTCGTATCAAATGAACGGAGGACAATTTCGGAGCTCCCGAAACAGAACCATCTGCATCAAGCAAGACCGACCAACATGACATCAAGAGACGGTCGAAGATGCTAATCGAATTGCGACGTTGACTGTAGGCTTCCGCGCCGACACCAAGCGGTCCGCACAGTGGCGCAGCCTTGGGAGACCGTCACAGAAAGAAGCTGTTGGTGTTTGTTGATGTGAACCGAGGTCGAAAGCATCTGCAACCCTCGGCCGCCCAAATGTCAAACATTGTCAAACCATCTCCTCCTGGGTACCACAAATATGCATCATCGCATAAGCCAGATGAGTCGCGCCCACTTCTGCAGCATTCGAGGATCCGATGACACCTGAAGGCTGGCAGAAGCGTACTCCCAGCGACTTGAATCAAGCTCGTCGTGACTCCATCGGCTGATCCAAACAGCATAAGTACAAAGCATGGAGAGGAGTCTCTGTGCAAAGAATATGAACCCTGCAGTCCTTGGAGATCCCGTCTCTTGGGTGAAACCGGCTGTCCACTTCCCAACCAAGACAGAAGGCCTCACTACTCGTTTTGTCTCGAAGCGCACCTTCGCAGGGCGTGAGGCAACCTTCGGTGACACACGGTCGGGGCGAACGTTGATGACCTTGGAAACGGACAGCACACGAGAGATGAGACCCCGCTCTCAGCACCCCAAGAGCCGGACGATGTCCACGTCCGGCACGGCCACACCGTTTGCACGGCCTCGTGAAAGGTCACTGCTCGCGAAGCCCACCACTTCCACCTGAGCACAGCATGGCACAGCCTCTAGTAGGTCAACGCCGTGTATTGATCCCATTCGGCCTCGGGGAGGCTGTTGGCCAGCATAACGCGAATCGCCTTACGAAGCTGGCAGGGTCAGATCTCAAGCAAAGGCCTGCGGCGCAAAATCACAAAGATACCGCTCTTCTGAAGCATCGCCCCGTCCTCAGCAAGACGATCCACTCCACGCTGGCTCGCGGCTGTTGGCCTACAGGTGCCACGGTAGGGGCCCATCATGCAGGGTTCTGGGCTCACTCTTCTCCAACTACTACTTGGAAGCTCTTCAGACAGCTGGAGGTTCAGAGACGTGCAGAGTTTTGTAGGATAGTGTTTAAAGCTGCATATATTGACGCAGATCAAGCATGCATCTGTGGTCGGCACATGATCTGCGACACGAGCTCCTGATCTCAGATACCACCGTCTTTTGAGGATGCACTGCCTGCATCATTGACGACCAACAGTCCTGAACCTCCTCTTGCAGGCTTTGTCCTTGAAATTGAGGTGCGACAATAGGCACCTGCAGGCCCAGGCTTCTGACAGCCGTCTTAGGCCTGGGTCCGGGCGAACCGACTCGTGCACCCTTTGAGGCATGGACGGCTGGTGTTTGAGCCTGCGTGTCCACGTGAGCGCCCGGGGGCTTCCTGTGCATTCCCCGCCCTGTCCCTGCCGACTCGGGGAGCACGCAATACAGGCCTCGTCGTAGGGATACGCTTCGGCTTGCGGACCTCGTCAGGGTGGGATGCTCTTGAGTTCTCAATTCAGCTTGTTGTCGCATGTCGAGCGACTCTTTCGCTTGCGTGTGTCTTGCCGTGCATTTCCTTCGGCATGTCCACACCTCGCGGACGACACGCTCGCTGGACGAGTCGGAGTCCTGCAAGGTCGACAGGCGTGCAGATGAATGTGGCCAGTGACGTAGCATACACATGCCGTTGTGGAACCCTCTCCCATGTCCAGTTGCAGCTTAAGCCAAGCGGCCGTGGCACTGGCGGCTTTCAGCTTCTTCGAGCTGCCTGATGCCACAAAGAAAGCACAGACCCAAGTATGCTCTGCACAAAGCCACCGAAGAAACGCTTCAAAGCACTGTTCGACATGACAGGAAACTGATGGCAGGAACGGAGACGGAGCGCTGGAGCAGCTGCACCTAAACCAGGCGGATGGAAGCACCGCAATCGCCATCAAACTTCGCACCCTCAGTCACCCGCCACATAGTAGCAGAATGCTCCGAGGCAAGCGAAAATGAGCTGGGTCAGGTCAAGAGGCACCTTGGGCAAAGCTTGAGGAAACAAGCTCGGCTTTAAGAAACAGTTCTTGTGGAGCTCTTTGGTGCAGACAGGAAGCCACAATGCAAATTGCGGTGAGAACGAGAAGGATCAAGAGATTGTTGGAAGGCTGAATCCTTGATCCACGTAGCATGTGAATCACTCAGGTGAAGACAACGTACACATGCTAGCAAGACTCTCTAAGTCCTGCTTCTCTAAATGTCACATGTAGCATCGCACAAGTCATTTCTTTGGAAACGCCGTCTAGCGTGCTGAGTGCCCAACACAGCCGCGAGAGGGCTGGAAGAAGCCTGCGCAAAACGCGAAAGGCGCAGCCACGAGCTAGAAGCCTGTTGACTCGAGAGCTGCATGCCATCGAAGTGGCTGCGATCGGCCACCTCGACCCTGTGGAGTCTCAGAGCGTCTGTAAAAGGATTTGACTCGACCATGTCTCGATTGTGCGTCAGACAGTTAGATCTCGGAATCACAGGAGGGGCTTGGCTGAAACTAAGCCTTAAGCTGTCCTCGGAAAGAGGACGTATGTATCGTTATGCGTTTCATCTCACAACTCCCCTGGTCTACGTGGGGTCACTCACAGCGGAAGTCTCACATGACATGTCATAATTCCACAGCCTTCGGTACCTTGGATTAAATTGCCAGAGGAAGCGGTGTCATTCATTTCAGCCTGCCTGCTTGACCTATCTATGTTAACCTCGAGCGACACCCTCGGCCTTGACCAACGACGAGTACTGAAAGCATTACACTCGCCCAGACTCCAGACCCTATCAAAGATACCATCAACTCAATGGCCGGCCTTCAGAGACATAGACATAGCTACACAGTAGATGGATCGTGCGCACGGATAGTGATGCGCCTCAGTCTTTGAAGGACCATGTCCGTGAAGCACACAGCTCTGCTCTGGACATCAGCCCGTGCTTGATCTTTACCAACTTGCTGCTTCTTCTGACCGTGGCCTTCATGCGATCACTTTCAAGGCGAAGGGTGGGAGGGCGATTTGCGCACTGAACAGAACCGACTTGCCAAAAGACCCCACGATCTACACCCTAAACCCTAAAATTATCAAAACCCTCAACGTCCGAAAAAACTAAACCCTCAAAACTGCATGCCAAGTCTCTAAATCCCCAAAACACTAGACTCTCTTCCATGCGGTTGTGTTGTGACCGAAGATGTCATGTGTTCACAAAGTAAAACCTGGTCCGGAGCAGACCCAAGCATCTGGGTTCGTCGCCCGGTCGAGCCGGAGACAGCTCCAGGCAAGCAGCTGGCTAATCATCGGAGGTTGTTAAACAGTAGATGGCAAGCAGACATGTCTCTTTCCGTTTTGTCATGTGTCATGGCCTCCGGCCAAGGCAATGCACGGGTAAGATGCATTGGATGCCACAACAAAAGGCGCCTCCCATGTTGTGAAATCGGTGTTGTTCTGTTACCACGTGATTAAAATCTCTGCACCAGAAGTTGTACCACGTGTCCAAGTAGTGCTGCAGAACTTCAGTCTGTTGCGTGTTCTGAAGAGAGGTCTCGATCGCGAGGGGGCAGGAGAGCTGTTTAAGTCAGCGCCTCAGTCGTCGCGAAGACTACAAAGTTGATCTATGCCTGCACATTTTCGCAATGAGAAACAATGTAAATCTGGAGCTGTGCCGCCAGCGTGTTACAATCCAAGTTGGAAACTCTTCGTCATGTTCCCCTTCTCCCGCGAGTTCAGGGCGACAGGATTTTCGTTTGTTCCTGCATGAATACACTGGTTGGCATGGTTAGGTTTCTACACGAGCTCGGAACTAAGCATCGTAGTTTGACCAGCCACCAGGTGCTTTCCCCCCACCCGTCGGCTTGCGAGGCACATGTTGTATGACACATCAAAGAAAAGTTTTACGTAGCATTCTCACATCCTTTTGGGGAAGGCTTCCTGTCCATAGCAGCAACCACAGCCGACAAGCTGTAAACGAGCTTCCAAAGACGTTGCAGAACGGGAAAAGTCTCTCGGCTCCCGGCTGTCGAAGTTTTTTTCGATCTCAGGTGCTGCTGGAGAGCTGTCCTGCTATGAGAAGGAAGCCTACAGTGTGATCCAGGTCGAACTTATCTCGAACGAGTTTCAACAGGGGGGGGCAAACCACGTCAAGCATCAGGAAACGCTGCACCCGTAACGGAAAGGGAAGGAATATGAGTGGATTCAGCGACTGCGAGTCTGACACTCTAGTCGTCGCCCTCGGGCAGGAGCAAGAAACCCAAAGCTTCACTAGAACCAGGATCACTTTTTGACTCACCAAAGACCAGATGCCGGACCACGTTCCATAGGCCTGACATCTTGGACACCAACACGACCAGATCCATCCCAACAGAATGAAACCATACTTTGAGACAGCTACAGAAGCGGATTTCGAATGTGTGAGATGCCATGGAACAGCTTTGCCAGATCCGACCAACACATGTCTCTGCGCTGCACATGCGCTCAGTCCTTCAGCAAATAGTGGTGTTACTGTAACTGGCGCGAGTATCCCGTGAATGTCTTGAGCCACAATGTACGCGGTGATGTGAATCAAGCGAATCAAGCTTGATCGCCACAAGCCTCTCGACTCACCTGTGACTGGACAAGGTCAGCGTAGAATCTGCAGCAGGCAACGTCATTGTGCTGCCTTCCGGCTCCAGTCTTTCACTTCCTGGACGACTTTGTCATTCACGGCATAGGTGGCCTGGCGCTTCCACATCATGTCGCACTCCACCTGTCTCACAAACAGGGCCCACCATGTGACGGTAGGTGTTCCAGAGCTCATCCGTCTCCTCCCCCAGAACGACACGCCTGGAGCCAAGACAATTACCAGCAGGTGCAGCTCAGCTAGGGTGCACATTACTGCAAACACCTCGCGCTGCATGTCGAAGAATCCCATCACACTGAAAGAGGCCTCACAGCGCCATCGCTCCTCGGGCAGCTCTACTCTGCTCATTGCATCCGCATCTGAGGCTGCAACGTTGGAGCTTCATCAGAGCGATTGCACAGCATGTCGCCAGCCCACATCGCACCCCTGTGTGTCAATTGTGTCAGTGGCGTGCTTCCTGTCCTGTCTGTGAAGGTGAAGCGGCTGTCCGCCAAGGATGCACCTTGACCACCAAGTAGGTCAAATAGCAATGCCTTCGAGGTGAAGAAACAGCGATATCCCTAGATCCCATGCGATGTCACTCATGCTGAAGCATCTTGCCACTGCGTCGGTAAGTGCTACAGATTCCGCATCACGTCGAGAATAAGATGGCATCGCAACAGCGACAACCACTACAAGCATGTCTGCGTGGCCAAATGCTACTCATGCGCCTACGACTTCTGCTGTATTCTGCTGCAATGGCAAGCTATCACGCCAAGCCGAGCAATCGTTTCCACCTGCCGCGCCACTGGCCGGTCTTTGAGGGTCTCCCGTCACCGAGCGGAGAAGGGACGCCCGTCGTTCCTGGAGGACTAGCTCCCGTCAAGAATCCAGAATCACGGACAATTCCGAGGCATCACCTTTGTACAATCTTCTGAACATTCAAAAGCAGACGCTGCTTTAAAATCAAATAAGCTCAGCCTTGGGCTTGAAGCTTTCGTAAGAGAGTGGGATCGACGCAACATAGATGGCATGAGCCATGAACCCATCAGCCAGACGTCCAAAGCGCACTGGATATCGCAAGACGCTGCGGGCTGGTACTGCACAGGCAACCAGCTTTAGCAGCGGTAGGCGAGCGCCGCTGAGATGCAACCGGAACAGCTGAAATGTATGTGCGCAGCAAAGAGCCTGGGTTCAGGGTCGCAACACCTTGAAGTGAAGCATGAACACATCAATCTCAATCCTTGAGCTTCTTCTGTGTTGCACCCTGGTGCCTGTGGCCGTTTTTGAACAGCTTGACAGCCAAAGGGTAGCAGAGGAAGCTCGAAATCAAACACCATTGAAGTCAACAAATTCAGGGCCAAGTGGCCGCAAGACGCAGCGAACGTCTGACAGCATCCTCAAGACCAGACTCTTTCCAAAACCCGTCCTGGTCAAATAGAAAATGAAGGAATAATTTTGTGCAGACACTGCTACTGAATCGTACCAGCCCTGGCAGCTAGCAAGATGAACAGATCGAGCACGTTCTTCAGATCTGCACGGCTTGATCTTGAGGATGTTATCCTGGCTATAGCATACACATGCAGACTTCGCAGCGGCTAGACTGCACTTTAAAAATCACTGAATTCCTACAGCATCCTGTAGCCCAACAGGAGCCGCTGCAGCTCCCTGAGCTTGCGATGCCGTGACCCCTGAGTCTCATCTCACTGCAGCGACCCCGAGGGTTGAGACCGGTGCTGCTGACCGCCTTTGCTCTGCGCGGAAGGGCGTTGGTAGCCTCCGCTAATGGTGCCATCACTCGTCCAGAAGCTGGAAGAGCACTGGCACGAACTGCTTTCCCAGTCGGGCGATGACCTTCTGTAGAAAGATTTGGAACCATTCCTTGGTTTCCGACTAGAAACTTCTAACACCCGAAGAGAGGCAGGAGCCAGGCTTTTCTCAAATCGGGACAAGGGAGATGAGCTGGCAGTGGAACTATCGTCTGGCAGGCATTAGGGCTAGGGTGGAGGGTTTAGATGCCGAAGCCTCGACCAAACTCAGCGTTTCAAGCAGATCCGGAGAGGTGATCTGTGGATTCCCGGGGGAGGTAACAACAAGACGGCAATACGGACAGGGAAAAAGCTCACAACCTGCGGGGTTGTGATAATGCGTCGAAGCAGCAATTGTCAGACCTTGACCGACTCGGACACCTTTGTTGTATTTTCCCGTTCATGGCGTGTCACAGGCCAGAGTCTCACGCCACGTATGCTGACTCGCAATCTGTCACAATGCTTGCAGCACCGATACCCATGTCAATTTGAAGCTGTAGCGTGTCTTCGAAGAGATATTCGAACATGCCTCCCAGCAAAACGGATGATTCACTCTCCCTGCTCAGGTACACGACATGCTTATTCATGCTTTCAACGACAGAACTCAAGTCGTAGGCTTCCCGGTTCACTCGCGGGCGGACCGAGGGGCTCGGCAAATCTTGAAACACGTTATGCTGGAGCGGCGTGGCTGTGGCCTGTGAAGCGGTACAGCCGAGTGTCCACGTTGGGTGTCACATACCTTCATTCCCAAGCATAGCAGAGCAACTCCATGCCTCTAACAGAAGCTAGCAGCGCACCACAAATGTGCTGTCAGCGGTGTTTAGACACAACGCAAGCACCGAAAAATGTATCCAGTTTCAGTTCGAGCTTGGCAGCTTGAGGTCCTCTGCGAAGTCTTTCACATCTCCCTGAGGAAAACACGATTGGAGAAAACCCTCACCATCCAGAATACTTCTTGTGCACAAGCCGAGCCAAAACTGCCTCACTAGCTAGCAGTCCTCAAAATCACTGCCACGTCACTGAGACGTCATGACACGTCGACCCTTTCGAACAGAGTGCGACAGGCTTCTCTCCAAGGCACGTATCGCAGGAACAACCTTAGACGTGCATTTTTGGGTTGCGGTTGCACATACGCTCTTTTCCGCTCCCAAAGTCTTACCGTGACATGCTTAGCCTGCTCGGCACTGCAACATGTCTTGCTGCAAGAGCTGAAATTACTCCGAACTGCCCTCCAAATGGATACTGCGGAGTTCCACACCCGTTCAAGACCGAGCTGCACTTTACCGCGCCAGTTGCCCGAAGCGTAGCGGCGGAACACTCTGGGAATGAGGTGATCCTCGCCTCATTCCGCTATGGGCACTTGCGGTCAAGGACGCATCTGGCTCTGCAATCTGGCTCTTGCAGGCCTGACTGTAGTCCGCGCATTAGCAGCAGGTCACTCATGTCGTCTTCTTTCAACTCGGAAGGTTCCGGAGAGTCCTGAATGTCTGCAACAGGAAATCCTCTTGGCAAGCATCTTGTTGGCATGCACGTGAACGAGTGCAGAGTGCATAGTTTGCTTCGGGACGAATGTTTTAATCGTCTCGAGAAAGGTCAGTGCAGGTCTGCAATTCGTTCCTCGGGTGGGGTCTCGGAGACAAGATGCACTTCTTGTTTGGCTGTTTTCCCCAGCTCGGAGGACTTCTGTGCTCAAGACCAAACTGCTCCGGCACTGAGCTTCGATGAGATGAACTCTGTAAAATGTAGTGATACCAGTAGCTGCGACATGATGGTTTGCTTCCTTGCCTGATTTCAGGAAATGGCGTTTCCGAAGAACACGCACTGCGGTCTATCAGGCTTGAGGGAAACTTGTCGTGGAGGTTACGAAAAACTGAAACGAATGGCCTCTGGTCCGACACTAGCCTCTCAATGGAGCGGGCATGCACTTGACTGCAGGGGTCTCGGAAGAATTTTCTCTCTCTTCGAAACTCCGAAGTCACTCCGTACGCGACCGCCTCGACGCTCTCGTCTTCCTCCGGCTCGGGCTTGACCTCTTCCTCGGAGTCCTCTTCCAGGCCGCTTTCCTCCTCCTGATCCTCCTGCGAGCGACGCCACTGCAGCAGCACCAGCACTGCCCCGTCTGCGAGACAGGCCTCCAACAGCGCACGCGACTCCTGCATAAAAGGCAATAACACGGAATGAGATGTGATGTACATGAAGCACAACACTCAAACATCCCCTGCCTGCTGCCCGTGCGGCTCTGTCTCGCCCAGGCCGAACTGGCATGCACCCACAAAGGCTATGATCTGTGAAGCAAAGGGAGGAGCATCTGAACGCTGCTATGGCATGCATTCTCGCTGGCGTGGCATTTTGCGGTGTCGGTGAAGAGCGGGCCGACACGAGGCATGAGCCGGCCCGAGCGACCAGTACAGGCCAGTCGGTCTGGGTGTGTCATAGTGTGTCGGTATTTGGCTGCTGGGTCAGCTACTGCTTCCCCGTGGCTGCTTGTGCGAGGCGTGGTTCGAGAAGACCTTGACCGTCACGGATGGAAGAAGCGTGGCAAGTTGTGCGATGCGCAGTCACGTGCACTGACGCTTCATGCGATATCATGCAGATGCTCGTGCTTTCCTTCTGCTCGACGCTTCGTCTGTCCGCTTATCAGCATCTGCGGAGCATTCCCTGCAAGACGACGGTCTGGTGAACCCGCGCCTGAGGCCTAAACCCTGTGAAAAATCTTGTGAGGTGAACATCGACATAGGTGAGCACGGAAATGAACCACCTCACGCTCTTGTGTGCGCGTGCCGGGTCGAAGGTGCTCGCCACATGTGCAGGTTTTGATTTTTTTAGCCCCGACCAAGAGAAGCCTGATGGCTCCCGGGCCCTGCAACAAGAAAGCTGGACAATGGATCCCACCAGGTCCCGAGCCGGCCTGCCCTTCTCCTTTCGGCGTACTTGCCGTTGCAGATATGCTGTTGCGACGCCGCCTGACAATCAGCGAGCAAGAACTAGGAGCTGCATGTGAGCATCTATGTGCTTGATTTTGGCAGTACTGGAAGGTTGCGACCCCTTGAAACGAATGGAAACAAGATAAACAGGCAGGTGTAATCCAAGAGTCCAACATGTACAGAGCCCGTAAGTGCCACTTTACATTTAAGCCGCGTGTCTTGGTACAGCAACCTCCCTGAAGCTGCCAGCGGACTCGGCTGAGGAGGCCGGTCGGCATGGACGGTAGATTCACACATGTCCTGCCTCGCCGCAAGCGAACTGCGTTCGAAAGAAAGCCGCCGGAGAAAGGCTCGCACGCCTGCACTTGGAGCTGTAAAACCAGGAGCTACGAGTATGAGTCTGAACAACAAGGTTCAATCCTGCGATCGCGTCAAGCATACCCAGTGCACACGAAGCCAATCGCCAAAATAACGTTTAAGACACCATGCTGCATGCTGTCCCAGCGACCTTTTTCCGTGTCCTCTTTGCCGATGCACCTCAAACAACCCGAGACACATGTTCGTACATAGCATACATGTGGCGTTGTTGCAACTGAAAAACGGCTGCCGATTGTTTGTGCAAGGAGACGGCAAACAACACGATGCACACCTTTTCCGAACAAAGTCCTGACAAGCCAGTCAGGTGAAATTGTGCAGAACATAATTTGTTAACTGCTGAGTCTGCACTGGCTGTAGCTATTCTCCCTTTCAGGCAAGAGCGTTTCTTCGTGTTCGACATATAGTCTCGCATACGCGCATGCGTAAATACATAAAAACTAAGGA